AGGTATCTTGGCTTCAAAATTTGTCTAAGGATATGTTGCTTTGGAAAAGAGGTTCTGCTTTTCTTTCCACAGAAGATGAGAAGCTGTGAATTCCTTCCATGTTAATATGGTTCTATCAGTGAAAACCCTCTGAGAGGTCTCCAGATGATCCAGCATCCAGAGCAGCTTCAAGGCAACTGGTTTAGAGAATACAGCCTCATAGGACTTGATCATAATCCTAAAATTTTCTTTGTGTCTTCATAAGACTGCCAGCACCCCCAATCATCAGGAAGTAGCCTCAACACTACACCCAAATTCCCAAGAAATGGATTATGGATGTTTGTCCTTATTTGGGAATTGTTTACAAATTGTTGTTGGTCATAGTCAATCTCTTTCTAAAAAAAAGAAAGAAGGATATGATATAGAAATGTAGGATATAGATATGATAGGATGAAAGAGCAGATCATTGAATCTACTTTTAAAGAGCAACAACTTGTTTAAAATGTTTTACATTGCTGTGGATTTTAGTTTATTGATATAAATTTAGTTAATTTTGTTATACTATATATATTCCTACTTATGTTTAAGGTACTATGTTTATGCAAATCATTTAAAATTGTAATGTATAATTGATAAATACAGATTAATAATTTGTCATCTATGATAATCAAACTTATAGTCTTGTTGGTTGAGTTTTCTAGGTATACATAGATATATTTCAATTAGGTGCTGCAGGCCACAGGAATATATCATAAGAACTCAGTTGGTTATGGCAAAGTCACTATCTGGAGGGATCAGAGAATTCCTCCAGAGGAAGCCAAATCCCAAGGAGTTTTTGGTGTTACTTGGCTTGTTATATATCAGCTGTATTCTGCTATGAAAATCATGTGTGCCTTCATAGTTTTCCCAATTGACTCTTCCCTAAGAAGGGCTAACAGTGTGGACTGATTACTCTCTGGACATACACATTCCAGGTATTTGGAGAACAGCCTCAGGAAAGGTGCTCTCTAGAATCAGATTATCTCCCTTAGCCACTTTCAAGGACTACAGGAAACACCACCCAGATGGGTGCCCAACTTCCAGGATAACAATGATAACAGCCCACCTGCAAGTCTCCTGACTTAAATTCCACAAGGAGACACCACCCAGGGGGGCGCCCAACTTCTGAGAACAAGCAATGATAGCAGCCCACAGGCAAGTCTCCTGACTTAAGATAAATTCCACAAGGAGACACCACTTAGGAGAGGTAGACATTAAGTAATAGCTTTACACAATTTAGCTCAGACCCTCCCTTTATATACTGGGACTTCCAGGGCACAGGAGGGAGAAGAGAAAAGAAAATGGAAGAACTAGATGGGTAAGAACTTGAGAGGAACAAACTGAGATGGAGAAGAACTAGATTGAAGGGCTAGAAAAGAGGACTAGTGAAACAAGATGGAAGATGAGGAAGAGCCAGATGGGGAAGAACAAGATGAGAAAGAGACAGATGAGAGAGAAGGAAATGGGAGAGGAGCTGATAGGGGAAAGAACTAGATAGATAAGAACCTAGAAGGGACAGAACTAGATGAAGGAATTAAAATAGAACCTAGAGGGGACAGTAGATAAATATAGAGAAATCAGGCAAGAAAGGAGCTAGACATGAGAGCAGAATAGAAGCTGTGTAGAGAGAGTACTACCACAGAATAGTAAAGTGTATGAACTAAGGAGTTTCATGTACATAGATTCATTTCTTTTCATCAAGGATTAATTATCAGCTGGTTGTAGATTTTTCCCGGACCCTGGGAGGGGACTATCGAGGGGCTGGACCCCCATAGTCCCAGATAATTAGGTAGGTATTCTTCAAATACTTCAAAGTCCTACAGAATATGGCATTTAAAATGTGGTAAGAAATTAGACTTTTCTGGACATTTGAGACGTATCTGCTCCTGGCAGCACCAATCTACTTCAGAGAAGATGATGGGGATTGAAGAAACTTCATATGGATTTTGCTTTTTTTATGGCAAAAGTTAGTCATTTGAGGCCAGAAACTGCTCTTGCCTGGACTGCTTGACAGTATGTTGTATAACCTGGACATGCAGGACCCATGGGAAAATGACCACTGAACTTTGCCAAAACAGGTGACATGGTCCTTAAGGTTCCCACTTTGTCAAAGAAATTGACAGAAATTCTACAGGTCACAGGGAGAAGCGACTGATGGACTTTTTCAGAGTGGGTGGAATAGTCCTTAAAATTTCCTGCTTCACTAAAATGTCTGCAAGAGACTGTAGGCCTATTGGCTGAAGATGGATGCTGTGACCTTGCAGTGGAACTTAGGGTGACGGTCCAGGCAGCCAACTGTTTCTGTTATTCTAGATTTTTGGAAGTTGCTTACAATGTTCTTCCTGTTTACTTAGGTAATATTCTATCCTTCTGGGGTCTATGATGTAATTGAAGACTAGATAGACTTAATTATAATTTTCCTTGGTTATGATAAAAGACAAATTAGATATGAAACTTTGGACTCACAAATATAGGCTGTATGATAGAGTATTTTCTTTAATTTTGCCAAATGCAAATGGACCAGATATTGTAACTATAATTCTTGCTTGATAACTATTCTATTATATGTAATTTTACTATGTTTAAGTTAAAACCTTCCTTTCTGATTAGACAGAAAATGGGAAGTACTGTGGGATGTCTTTCTGTATTCTTTGAATATGTGTTGCTATGATTGGTTAATAAAGAAGATGCTGTGGCCAATGGCAAGTCAGATTATAGCTAGGCAGAAAATCCAAGAGAAAGATGAGAAACAGAAAGGCAGAGGTGGGAGAGATACCAGCCTGCCACCCAAGGAGCAACATGCCAGTAGACCGGTAAAGCCTCAGAACACATGGCAAAACATAGATTAATAGAAATGGGTTGGTTTAAGATATAAGGGCTAGCTAGCAAGAGGCCTATCATAGGCCATACAGTTTTTAAATAACATTAAGCCTCTGAGTGATTATTTTATAAACAGCTGCAGGGCTGCAGGGCTGGGCAGGACCAAAGAAAACTTCTGACTACATCAATCCTTGATACTTAAGGGAATCTTGTCTTGAGACTGTTGAGTGTTTCCAGTGCCTCCTGAGAGTCAATCCATCCAGTATGATGTCCTTATATTGCCTCATGTTATGCAGCATGGATGGTTATATTACTGTTTCTCTAGTACTGTGAAACTTATATTGGTCCCATCTGCTCTCATATCCTGCAGTTTCACAATCCAGATTCTGAGAAACTCAGTTTTTGTTTGTGTGTTCTAAAGTCTTCCCAATTTTAAGCCATACAGATTTCAGCTGATCATAATTTTGTTGCCTTTCCTTTCCCTGATATTGAAAATCATACTTGATGCATATATTCTATCACTGTTACCTCATAATTTTCTTCCTCATCATTTTATTTTTTATAGTGATTTCTAAGTTTTTTGTTCTGAGGGAGAACTCCTCAGCAAAGATCTTCTTTTCTGTAGTGAAAGTTGTGTGTTCACTATGATGAGTTATAAATCATGAAACCAAGACTGAGATATCTGAGAGTAGAGTATTTTTTGGGAAGGATGTTCTTATGTGTGGATATCTGTCTTTGAATGGCATCAGGTGGAATGCTTCACTGATGAATGGGGTCTGCTTCATGTTGATTACTGAGAAGCACCCAAATGCCTGATGGACTATATATTGTAGTCTCTGAAAGTGACAGATACTTCTTTTATAAGAAAGCTCTGTCAGCAGTCACATGCCTTTTCTGTGAGTGATAAGACATGAAACTGAGGCTCATCTGTCTGCCCAAAAATAATTTTCTCACATGAGAGGTATGATTATATAAAAAGACATAAGGATGTTGCTATCCTCCACACTAGTCTTTGATTTGACAGGAAAAGAGAAACAAAGGGAAGATGACAAGATGTCAATGTGTAATTTCCCACAGCTGGAATGAGGGAATGGGTGATGTTATTGATATTGAGATTGATCTGCACAGATGTCTTACCCTCAGACTGATCACAATTAGACAAATCAACCTTATATTGTACACTGTATATGCTAAGCAGCAACTCCTCCCCAACATTTCCTGGGTAGACAAAAAACAAAAATTTATTCATTTGAACAGGCCACTCATGACAGAATGAAGATTCCGAGTAAGTGATTAGTGAACAAATGAGTTTATTCGGGATTACTCACAAGATCACGGGCAGACAGTTAATTACTTGAGTCCAGATAATAAAAAATGGATACTACTTCAATGGCTCACTTCAGCATGGGTAATGGCATACATAGTTACATCTTTACATCTCTCTGGTCTGTGGTGGTATTTTACTTGTACTGAAATGTGATTTTAATTGTATGTTAATAAATAAAGTTGCCCAGGGGTCAGAGCTATTAGAGCCATAGCAAGAGCGTGGCGGTGATGGCACATGCTTTTAATCCCAGCACTTGGTAGACAGAGCTAGGTAGATCTCTGTGTGTTCAAGGATACAGGCAGCATTGGAGACACACGCCTTTAATCTCAATACCAACCATAGAAGCCCTGGAAGTCTCTACAGAGGCAGTCATGTGTTTGGGTTTACAACCAATGAGAAGGCAGAACAGCTAGACTATATAAAGACATACACACAGGAAGTAGGTCCCTTTTGGAGAGCTCTCTTGGCTGAAGAAGGAAGGGTAAGGCTCTTAGTTCTGACCTCTTGGCTTTCTTCTCTGAATAGGCTCTGTGTTTCTTATTTAATAAGATGGTTGGTTACATCTACACTGGTCAACTTGGATGTCAATCACCATAGGTAAAAGTTGTTTCAACTTGATGAAAGTAAAGGCAGAACCAGCTTTTGTAAACAGTATTGTGAGAAACTCTACCAGCAGAAGCAGAGAATATAGGACCAAGAAGTGGGTAAGATCCTACATAATATGTGACTGGAGAGTTTAGGATTTCCTTGGCAGACTGGCTTGGGAAGCAATGACTAAATAACTTTAGCTACTTCCCCTTCTTCTACTTTCATTCCACAACACAAACCTACTTACCATATATGAGATATTGCTGAACACAGTACGTCACAAGGAAGGCTATCAGCACAGATGCTATCATACTCATAATCCACATCCAAACACATTTCCATGAAAATAGTTCACCTGAAACATGAGTCACAAATCTTATCACTGAGAAAACTTGGCTTGTACATACCTAGTTAGCAATGGTGACTCATCTGAAGCTTGTTACAATTTAAGAGAATACCACCCTGGAATATTAGGCCTACACAGGTGTGGAAAAGCAGTTATGATGGATTGGGTAAAGATCATGCCATGATACAGATATAGAGATCTAGAACAGCATAACAATACGGTTGCACAATAGGTAAAAATGAGACTAATAAGAAAGGAAGCAAAGTTAAACTGGTAGGGAAACAGTGACCCCCAGGTGAGTGAGGCAGGCAGGTTGTATGCTTCAGGGTGGTTATCAAGATAATACTTATGAGGAAGTGAGATTTGAATGTAGAATTGAAGGAGATAAGGAAAGTTAGTTGAATTTACATTATGCTGGAAAAAGAAACAACTAGAGGAAAAATCTGAAGCTGAGTTCATCTACATGGATGTGTAAATAGATGAGATGGAGAAGGAGAACATTAGGAGGTGAGAGTATGAAGGTAACAGGGGCAACAAATAACTCAAAAAATTGGGAGATAGTTATCTATAACTAAAAAGGGAGTAATTTCAGGGTATTTAACACAGATGATATTTTTAAGTAATTCATCCTATGTTCAGGATATACCATCATATACTAGATAAAAAAGGAGAGTTTTAGGATGCTATTTCTAAATCATAATCTATAATTCAGACTTATATAGTGGTGAGAAGTGATGAAGGAGAATCCAATTATTAATCTGATTATTTTTTCTCTCTGATTCATTCTTTTCTGACTTGCTGGATTCCTAATTTCATTTTAAATTCTTGATTCCAGGTCTATACCAAATATAGAGTCACCCCTCACCAAACCCCTTATAGATAGGAACCTTCTTTATATGAAGAATATTCAGTGTGCTGTTCAAAACCTCTCAACTCTAGTTTTGTCTGTTCATGTCTGTAACATGAATTGCCTATATTGTCACTATGAGGACATCCTTAGACTTGTTCTATAAATGTGACCAGAGTGAAATTAAATTGTCTTTTTTTTTGTTTTATCATCAGGCTTTACACACATTTTTCTTTTTAGGATATGTGACTAAATCTGTGTTATTGGAACCACCACAGTCTGGGACCCTAAGTCAGACATCTGTCTTGGGACTCCAGTAATAATGAGACTCTGGTATATTTTAACAGTAGACCTAGTATTATTTCTACGTATATGTGAATGTGATAGAAAATGGAAGCCACAGGTGACTTTAGTGATTTAGTTCTGATAAACTGAAAATATGTAATGCTACTTCAGAGCACTAAATTAAGCACACTTTAGAGTAACCATGAGTTTAGTTCTTTAGTTTATTGTGCTCATTTTATATTTATTAAACTTTTGGGTTGACTTATAAGTTTTCAGATGAGAGCAGAAGGAGGGAGGAAGAGTGAGTGTTCTGGTGTTACTTGAAGCTATGAGAAAAAAGGAAGTCAGAAGAGAGAAAGGCCTCAAAAGCTATGCCGTGGAATCCTGGATGGCAATATGCCAATTAGTTTTGTTGACTTCACACAAACTAGAGTCATCTGGGAAGAAGAAACCCTAATTAAGGAATTCCATCCATCTGATTGGACTTAGGCCATGAGTGCAGGCATTTTCTTGATTGATGATTGATGTGGTAGGGCCTGGGTCCCTGGAGGTGGGTGGTGCCCTCCTTCATCAGGTGTTCCTGGGTTTTATAGGAAAGCAGAGAAAGCCATTGAGAACAAGCCAGTGAAAAGTGTTCCTCTGTAGTCTCTACTTTAGTTCCTGCCTCCAAGTTTCTTTTGAGCTCCTGCTCTGGCTTCCCTTGATGAAACACTAAGATGTAGAAATGTAATCCAAATAGACTCTTCTCCCACTCCAATTTGTTTATGAACATGATGTTTTATCACAGTGACAGAAAAGGAATCTACAATATTCAAGGCTATAGACTGAGAAAATAAACACATCAGAGAGAGTAAGAGAGACGACAAACTAGATGATGAGTAAGGCCAAGAGAGTGCAAGCCCTTAAGAACCAAATCAAGGAAGAGGTGATACACAAATATGTGCACCATTGGCCATCACTGAAGAACAAACACACATTTTACCTGATAGGACAATACTTATGCTTTCTTCTTGGTGAGTTAGACAGTTTTGAAAATAGCAAGTGACATTCCTGTGGGAATTGGCTTCAATAAAAAGGGCCATTGTCATGTTGAACAATTTGTTTCCATCCTGTGAATGGGATTTTGATGTTGCTGGAATGATTTCTCCTTTGCTGTTTCTCCATTCCATATGAGGTTGTGGGAACCAACCTCCTGAATGACACTCCAACATCACACCTTTGGTATTAGGGGAATGCATAAGAATCTGTATGTCTGAGCTCGTGACTGGTTGACAACAAAAGAGGAAAACAATATTGTTAGGTATAAATGGAAGAGGAAATGATGGAAAAGTAGAAGCTCTTTTTGGCTTTAATCCCAGTTTCAAAAGATACATTAATAATAAAAACTATACATTTCTGGTTGCCTTGTGAAAATGGCAAGAGCCAGATGGAAAGGCTATAGTTCACAGTCAGCAATCTGTCCAAAGTAAGGCAGCTAAGAAAAGGCCTGTTTCACTTGTTTATTAATTTATTTAAAAAATCTACGTCTTTGGATTATGGTGAACAAAAATCAAGATTTTGAACCTTATAGAATTTATAATTTAATTTTTTCTTTCATCATAGTCACTAGTTATTTTTGAACCATTGTAAATAGATTATAAAAATGAATTTCATTATAGCACAACTGTGGAACTCTACTTGAATCGTTGTGTATTTCTATCACAGGTAATTTTATAATTTGTGAACATTTGCAAGTAAAGCTATTTGGAGAAAAGGATATACTGTGTGGCACAAGGTAGCTCCCATTGCCACTAAAACCAATGAAGGGATGATGGAAGAGTGGGAAAGATGGAGGAGCAAAGTATTTGTTTGTTATCATTTTGCTTTTCTTGTTGTTATCGTTTTTTCAATTAATATTTTATTTCTTTTTTTTTTTAATTTTCCTTTGCAGGGGTAGGGGTGGGGTGCTAGCTACAAGGGTAAAGGGCCAATACAGAGGGACTGGGTGGTGAGTGAGATTGAGGTGGATGATGTGAAATTCCCAAAGAATCAGGAAAAATTATACTAAAAATATGTTTAATATAAAATAGGTAATACATTAATAGTGTGAAAAGTACATATTAATTTAGAGAAAATGAACATGTATGAAAATTTTCAGCATATTTTATGAGGCCCAAAACTTGCCTAATGCATAGGGCAAAAGAAAATGAATGGAGATTTAAAGCACTGTACCAAAGCTGCTCTGTCTAGTAAAGTGTCCCTGGAACAACAAAAATGTTATATATCAGTGCTAACACAGTTGCTTTTTGCCCCATTAGACTACTGAAAATGGCAATGATTAGCTTTTTGTCACATTAGACCACTAAACATTGCAATGAGCTACATTGTATAATTCTGCTCTACACTACAGAAGTGTCACCTGACAGCCAATGAAGATTATTCATCTGAGTCTAGAGTCCTACATGTATGTGCACACATTTATAGAATTTTTTCAGTTTCTTTTAAACCTAACCTTCTCTCCTTTTATTTTTCATCCAAAATAATCCAGAGTAAGGAAAGTAGCATAAATGCTATATATTTGCCTTTATTTCATATATAATATTATATGTGAGGATAGTGATGATTGTAGCTAAATCTTTTGAAAAAGATTTAGGAAAATTAATCAAGTACTAAGTAGTCAGTGCATTGATTTGGAGAGAAATGGAAATAAGTATTATTAGTAAAAAGAATATTTTTCTTTCATTAAAAATTTTCACACAATATTTTTAATCATGTTTTTTCCCTGAAATTCCTCCCATGTCCTCTCTACCTCCATACTCACCCAACTTTATAGTAAGAAGCATGTTTTAAAAATTCAGTTCATTTGGAAAATTACTAAAGTGTTGATAGAGATATTTGAAAGGGTAATAAAACAACCTAAAAGGAAGCTGATTATATGTTAGAAATCTAACAATGTATATAGGAATAATAAGAAAGTATTTACTAATAGAACTACTCTGCACTGTAGTAATTTTCATTTTTGATCTTCCATGACATCCAAATAAAAAACTAATAGTAAAGAAGTCATTTTGCTAACCAAACCATGCAAAAAGAGTCAAGCACTGATAGTTTTCCAACCACTCAACCCTACATAGGCTTTGAATTATGGGTACACAACAGTCTCAGATAGGAATCCATGTCTACCTGTGACCTTGACCTCTGTGATGTGCTCTTCATAAAATTCACCATCTTTGAAGAAGCAGCGGTATGGCCCATCATCATCAACAGTCACATTAAAGATCCTGAGGGTCACTTTCCCCTTCCCAATGGGGTCTTTCAGGAGTTCAGTCCTCTCCACATACTTGGAGATAGTTTCTCCATGCAGGTCTTTACCATCCCTGTACAGGTACACTGGCTGTGTATAATGGTTCCTGAACCAGCGAATCTCCATGTGCTGTGCATGTTGTGGTGGAGACAACTGACAACTGATTTCCAGAGTTCCACCCAATGGAGTCAAGACTGGTCTAGTCAATCCAGTCACTATGAATTTTTCTGTGAAGGAGAAACCAAAAGACAAGAGTGTAAATGAGTAAACATACTCACACCTTTTGTTAAAGTCATTCTCTCTGTTTTTCCCTCTTCTATCTTCTGCCCCCTCAAGCATATATACATACTTGACTTAAGATCACTTTGTTTATCCTGAAGGTATTTTAATTACTAATTACTTAATAGATACTAAAGCAAAAAGTGTTACTACAAATGGTTTAAAACAATTTTAAGGAACTATTGGAGATGTTGAGTCACTTCAAGACAGGCTTGATTCAAGATAAATCAAGGCAATGTGCAAGTCTGGGTCAGGGAAAATTGCAATATGAGTAAACTATGTCATATAGTGGAAATTTTGCTAAACTCAGGCTCCAGGGACAGCAGGGAATAAACAGCCAGTATGTCTTGTGATGCATGCAAGAGGATTGTAGATGAGAGTGTGACAGGCACTTTGTCTTAAATCTTCCACTTTTTATATGATACAGATGAAGGACTACCACCTCCCTTGGTCTGGTGTATTCAATAACAGGCCTGCATTTTATGATATAGTTTTAATATTTCCATGTGCCCTGCTATTCCTGATCCACACTGATAACTTAATAGATATTAGTTTCTTTATTTGTATGATTAAGCTATTTGTAATTTTGTTCCTCATGATTCATACTAGATTGGTAATGATACTTTACTTGCACAAATGAACACAGTTATTCGGACTCAGCATGTGCATTCAAAATTTAACAAACTGTTGCACTGTGAAATGGAGTCACTCAGGGCAATACTCAGCTTGAAAGCTACTGTTTCACATGATGTAGAGTAAAGTAGAGCAGGGAATAGCCTGGACTCTACAGTAAATAAAGATGAAAATTAGCTCAATATTGTGACATTAGAATATTGTGAATCAAAACAACAATAAGCCATCAACCAGTTACTAGAATAGCTGAAATCTTAAACATTGACAACTCAAAATGATGGGAAAAGATGAAGAAAATATGATTGTTATTTATTGTTGGCAGCAATGCAGAATTATTCAGACACTATGGAAGACAGTTTGACACTCTCTAACAGTGCTAAATGTGGGCTTATAATAATTTCTTTCCATAATCATGATTCTGTATGTAATCCAAATGAATTATAAAGTACATATACATTGAAATTTATACACAAATACAAATAACTTCTTTATTCTCAGTTGCTAAAAAGAATGGAGCAATCAAAATGCCCTTTAATAGGTGAGTGAAGAATCCAACTCTGGTACACTCATACAATGAAATATTATAAAATTAATAAAAGAACTTGTGCAACAGTGACACAAATGTTAGAGCAGTAACCAACCAATTTTGGTGGGATTTAAGACCCATTCCATGCTACAGAAACCATACCTGACACTCCTAAAGTGGCCAGAACCTGATACAGATATGTTCCTTAGGGAGAAACATAATATTACTATTCTGTGAAAGGGATATAGAGATAAAATGACTCCTAATGACATACTGTTATACCCTTAGATCAATGCCTATCTCAACCCTTATCAGAGGAGTTTCTTCTTGCAGTAAATGGGAATCAACACATAGACCCACAGTTGAATGATACAGAGAAAGTGAAAGACTTTGGAATGCTCAATGCTAAATGAGATGTCTTCATCAAACCACTCTCCCTTAAGGTTCAGGGAACTATGCAGAAGAGTGCAAAAGCCAGAAGTGATGGATGACTGCAAGGAACAACATCTTTCAGATGCAAGAGGACTGATTCACATGAACTCACAGAGACTACAGCAGCACACACAAAACCTGCACAGGTTTAAGGCAGATAGAGTCCAGGCACAGAGAGGGGCAAGTGGAATGAGATCTCACCACTAACAAAAGCTATCTGCAGTCGATATTCACTACCAAAGAAAAAATAAGTTTTATCCAGTGGAATCTCACTGGGTATAGTAACCACACTCCAGTACAGGCCCAAGCCCAGGAGTATTGGTCAATCTAAAACTGATGTAAGGGAATTTGGAGGACCTTTTTGTTTTCCTTTTTATTGAATTTTTTCCCTTATCTGTCTTTTGCTTGTTTGTTTTGATCTTTTGTTTTTGTGTTTCTTTTTTTGTTTTCATTTTGTTTCTTGGTTTATGGTTCTAGATAAAGAGAGAGCAAGAGATTGAGAGAGAAATACAGAAATATAACAAAAGAGAAAGCAAGTGGGAGAGTGAAAAAGGGAAAGACAGAGACAGAGAGAAAGACACACAGAGAGAGATTAAAAAGTTGTGTGGGTAAAGAAAATTTGGAAAGAAAAGGGTAGAGAAATATGACCAAAGTAGATTTATTAAATTTTGTTTTAAAATATAATTTTTAAACAGGAATGAGTTACATGAATGAACTTTAATCTTTGGAAGTGAACAAAATCAGTTTAAAATGGACACATCTTGTATGATACTAACTATGTTGCATTCTAGAAAACAGCGGCACAGATGCAGAACAAAGAGCTTTAACCTTTTGTCTTGGGGGAGGGAAAGAGGGACAAATGGGTATAGCTTACAAAAATCTTAGGATGATGAAGATTTTATGCATGATAATGAAATGGTAGATATATGACATTATGCCTATGCACAATAAATATCAGGATTTTAGGGTCTGATCATGGAAAAAGTTAAAACCACAATGTGAAATTAGCACACAAAACTCTTCTGTTTGGGAAGCACTTTAGCAGCTTCACAGGAGATAGCTCTCAAAGCTAAGACACCAGGACAGTCATCCAGAAAGAAAGAAGGACCAACTCCCATAGTTTGAGAGGTGTGTGTGTGTGTGTGTGTGTGTGTGTGTGTGTGTGTGTGTGTGTGTATCTATCTGTCTGTCTGTCTGTCCTCTCAACAACACAGAAGGGAGTCCCTGGTCAGAGAACTATGAAGAGTGTCAGCAGTTTCAGTGTCTTTGATTTGTTCATTTCACAATGACAGAGTTCATCTTGCCTTTGTCTAGCATGTGTTAGGAGCAACCTACACAGCATCCAAAGCAGGAAGTTAATAAATGAGTAAAAACAACTTACTTGTAATATATTGAAAACAATTAGCAAATTTGTATAAATTTGACATTGATGAGCTTTTGAATTAATGGGTCTCATTTTGAGGCAAACAACATAAAGTCAATGAGCAAATGTTATCTTCATCTCATTAATATAACAAAGTATTAAGATTCAGTAGTACAATGCTGTGGATACCGTTCTGTATAAATGAAACACTGATTGGCCAGTGGCCAGGCAGGAAGTATAGGCGGGACAAGGAGAGAGGAAAATTCTGGGAAGTGGAAGGCTGAGTCAGAGAGACACTGCCAGTTGCTACCAGGACAAGCAGCATGTGAAGATGCTGGTAATCTATGAGTCACATGACAAGGTATAGATTTATAGAAATGGGTTACTTTAAGATATAAGAACAGTTAACAAAAAGCCTGCTATGGCCATACATTTTGTAAGCAATATAAGCGTCTGTGTGTTTATTTTATAAGTGGGCTGTCAGACTGCTGGGGCTTGGCAGGAGCCTGAGAGAACTCTCCAACTACAGTACAACATGAGTGAACACTAATAAAAAATTGAATTTTAATTAGTAATAATTTGTCCACAGTTGTTCAGGTCTAATAAATGTACCATACTAAGTCAAGATGCTAAACAGTATAAGGGAACCTGTGTTAGAGAAAATAAAAGTATGGCTACTTGCTTATTCTATTCATCTGATTCATAGATTTTTCAATAAGAAGAAAGTGCTCAAGTGAAAAAAGTTTATTAAAAATTTTAAAAGTATTGTTTTATTTTATTTTATGAGTATTTGCCTGCATGTATATATATAAACCATATGTATGTCTCATGTCAATAGAGTCTAGGTGAAGGCATTAGATCTCTTGTAAGTGGATTCACAGATGGTTTTGAGCTATTGCTGGTGCTGGGAATCGAAACAGGTCCTCTGGAAGAACAGCAGGTGCTCTGATATATGAACTGTCTTTCTAGCCCAAAGTTTATTAGAACTTAAAAGTCATCATCTTTTATAACAGCCAGATGATAAGTCCCTATTGTTAGAGACATAAAACATATTGATTGAAGAGCAAAGAGAAATCAAACTGGAACTGACCTAGAAACTTTCTCCTAGGTGGATAGCTTCCATGGTGATGGTATTTCTATGGAAGTCATTATAGAAAAAAATTACCAATGGACTTACCCAACAGTGGACTCTGTGTGTCTCAATACTGAGGCAAGCAAGATGTACCTACCTGTGCAATAATGACATGATTGTTTATGGGCATAACCAATAATTTTCCTATTATATGTGAAGCCTGTACCACAAGAGAGAAACAATGCCTGGTACTGAAATTTGGTCAAAAGTCCATGGCTGGGAGGGTCACAGGTCATAGGCAAATTACTACCGTTGTTTTGTTAAATGGAATTGTGTCAACTGCTACTACATACTTTTACATTTATAATCATAAGTTAATGCTGCTTTCAGTTTTGGTTAGAGAAGCATATTTTTGCAGTGGGCAACACTCAATTAAGGAGATTATAACTGGCAAGTATGATGAGAATAAGTGACTGTTTAGTGATCAACCCAAAATAGTGCATTTATATCAATGCTCTTGAGGGTTAGGGAACATAGTGGAATGGTAGAAGCAGAAAGAATGGATGTAAAAGCTGAAGGATGGGGAGGAGTGCTATAAAATGCTATAATCTGGGCACAGCATGGCTGCTGCACTCATGAAATTGCACAAGGTCAAGCCAGTCAATATTTCAATTCATGAAACCCCACCACTAACTGAGAAACTTATTAGCAAGTGATGGCTGCTGGGGAAGGGCGACTCATTTTTTGATAGGGTGTGGCTGTTAGCAGGTTGCCCATTCTACAGAGAGTGGAAGGTCTCACACACATGTGCATGCAGATGTCAATAATTGGACTCAGATAAAAAGAAAACATAATGAAGGAGGGGAAAGTATTTAAGTGATCTGAAGGGAGTGATCTGAAGTGGCAATTCCAGTTGCATTCAAGGCCTGCTCTGTAGGAGGGATTTCAAGCCTGACTCTGTAAATTTGGCCAAATATATGGAGAGGCCAAGGGTCCTAGGACTAACTTACTACTGTTGTTTAGCTAAACTGATGATGTGGTGTCAAATTGATTCCTAAACATCTGAGAGAAATGCATTAAACAATGTACCTAAGCTACCTCCCTAAATTCAGGAAATGTTGTAGAAGAAGAGATAGAAAAAATGTAATAACTAGAAGACAAAGAGAAGAGTGATGAAATGTTATTGTCTGGGTTCAGCTTAATCATTGCAATCATGGACACACAACAGCTGAGTTTGTCTACTCTGGGCCTATAGAAGACTAGACCTGTCAACTGCTGGTCATGGGTATGGGAAGGACTCATGTAGCTCTTACCCCACCTCCCCTCCACTGAACTGTTGGTTATTGAAAGATTTGGGGTGGAAAGGGTGTTATCTTCAGATGTGTACACATTGGTGAGCTTACTCTGATTAAATTCAGTAGATCAAAAACAAGACAAAACATACAAACACTTGAAACATAAAATACAAACATGGAAAAGTGACCTGTAAGAAAGATGGGGAATTGACAAGGGTAGGAGGAAGACAAGAAGAGGTGGGATTGAGTAGCCAGCATACATTATAGACATGTACAAAATTGTTAGAGAACAAATTTAATGAATAAAAAAAGCAAGGAACATATGACTACTAATGAAAAGAAAATAAGGATTTAGATCATCATCAACTCTTCAGATAAAAAGTAACATTTTTGAAAGATATTCACCTTTAACCACTAATATAAACGTGAAGTATAATAAATATTAGATTTTGTTTCCCACCTAAAAGCTAAGAAAAAATAATCCATTTGTCTCAGTCACCAAATCCCTTAGAAATTACCTGGAACCCACCTGCAAGGGAATCAGTGAGGAGATCTTCACTCTCTCTCCTTTTCTCCAATTCCAATCTCCCAGGCTCACCCTCAGCTCTGTATCAGACCACCTACTATGGTATTCCTTCTTCCCTGTCCCAATCCCCAGTGGATCATGAAGATCTTCTCCTACAGCCTACCTCCATTACACCATTCTTTTATCTCAACTGCCAACTCCCAAAGGTACTACCTAGAAACACAATGGGGATGATGGCAAGGAAATCATGTAGGCAATATATTCACTCTCCCTCCTGAATTCTAATTCCAATCTCCCAGTCCTATCTTCAGCTTTGTAGAAGACACCTGATACAGAAGGCGGGGAGCTCTGTGCTGATCCTGGCTGGTAACACATCCAACTTTACTCACTCCACTGGACCCTTTCAACCTCCCCTTCTAGTCCGTTCCACTCCTTAGTGTCGGCTCCCAGTACCTAGAAACACTTTCTACATCAGAACCCTATTTACCACATCTGGAGGGATTTCAGAATCATTCCCAAACCCTACTCACAGCCACCACTCTCTCCTAAGAAGTAGAGAGGGCAACAGAGACCAAGGAATGGAACACCCACTGAACAAAGACAAAACCAGATATCCACATCTAGAGTTACAGTCATCCCAAATCCAGATGCCTAGTCACCAGCATAAAACACAATAAATAACAGCAAAGACAATACGTTTCAAGTAGAGCCCAGTGACCCTACTACATAATGTAGATGAAATTCTAAGCAGTCTTAGTAAATAAGAAACACAGAGCCAAATACAGGGGTAATAGCTGAAGAGATCAGAGAATTAGCAAAGAGCCACTGACTACCCTTACATAGGTCCTGAGAAATGACATATGGCTGAAACACAAGAAAAGAACTTCAAAATAGCTATTATGAATATGTTGAGGTTCTTCAATGGAGAAATGAAGAAATCTATTAATGAAATAAATGAAAACACAAACAGTGAAATGAAATGAAGAAAACATTTCAAGACATGAAAGTGGAAATAGAATAAATAAACATCTAAACTGAGGAAAAACTGGAAGTGAAAAATTTAGGAACTTGAACAACAACCTCAGAGGCAAAACTCACCAACAGAACACAAGAAATAGAAGAAAGAATCTCAGACATTGAAGACAAGATAGAAGAAATGGAAACCTATGTAGGGGTAGTTGTCTGTGCTTCACTTCTGAAACACTGCCTCTAGTAGAAAGCAGGTAGACTCCGGTAGAGTCATCTAGAACACAGTGTAATAAGATCAGTCTCAAATTGTGCTAAATGCTCATCATTAGCCAGTTCTGATGGTACAGGCCGGTAGGATTTGTTGAAGGAGACAGAGGCAAGAGGATCTGGAGTTTGAGGCCAGCCTATGAAATCAGTGGTTAGACATGGCACACGCTACAGTTCATCTTTCTTCTTGATGGTGTAGGAGTTGGAGGAACCCTTGGCAACACTGATGAGCTCATCTGCAAGGCATTCAGCAATGGTCTTGTTGTTCTGGAAAGAAGCCTCAGGAGATCCTGTGCACAGCAGCCTGATGGCCTGATTTACAAGGTGCAGTGGCGACACATCCACAGCCTGCTGTCTCTGTCCCAGCTCAGGGGGAGATGTAGGGGTAGTTGTCTGTGCTTCACCCTTGAAGCACCACCTCTAGTAGGCAGTAGGTAGGCTGAAGCACAGACAACTACCCCTATATCCCTGGGTCAAAGAAAATATCGAATCCAATAAAATTCAGGCACAAAGCATCCATGAAATTTGGGGCATTATGAAAAAATCAAATCAAAGAATAATAGCAAGAGAAGGAAAGGAAACTCAGGTCAAAGGCACAAAAAACATTTCAACACAATTATAGAAGAAAATTTCCTTAACCTAAAGAAACTGAGGGCTATCAAGGTACAAAGGCATACAGAACACAAAATAGACTGAACCAGAAAAGAAATTCCCCACAGTACATAATAAAGGACAAAAATACAGATAAAGATACAAATATGAAGATATGAGTTAAAATACTTTTTTCAGATAATATAATGGTACACATAGAGAACTTAAAAATACAAACAGGAAACTCCTTAGAGTTGATAAACACTTTCAGTAAGGTAGGTGGATCCAAAATTAACTCACAAAAATTAGCAGTTATTTACAAATAACAAATGGACTGAGAAAGAAATCATGGAAACAACACCTTTCATGGTAGCCTCAAATTATATGAAATATCTTGTGGTAACTCTAACCAATCAAATGAAAGTCTTATATAATTAAAAATATTAAGACATTGAAGAAAGACACCAAAGAAGATATCAGAAGATGAAAAGATCTCCCATGTACATGGATTGGTAGAATTAACATAGTAAAAGTGGTCATCCTACCAAAAGCAACCTATAGATTAAGTGAAATACCCAACAGAATTCCAAAACACCTTGACATGGATCTTGAAGGACAATTTTCAGGTACATATGGAAACACAAAACCCAGGATACTTAAAATACTCTTGAATAATAACAGAACTGCTGGAGGCATCACCATTCGCCATCCCAAATTGTATGGCAGAGATATAGTCATAAAAACAGCGTGGTATTGAAACAAAACCAGACACATTTGTCATTGGAATCAAACTGAAGACTCAGACATAAGTAGTTCACACACCTATGGACACCTGTTTTTATGAGAAAAAAACCATAAATACACATTGAAAAAAAGACAGCATCTTTAACAAATGGTACTGGTCAAACTGTATGGCTGTATGTAAAAATAATGAAAATAGATCCATACTTATCACTAAGCACAAAACTTAACTCTGAATGTATCAAGGATCTTAACATAAGTACAGATACATTGAGTCTGATAGAAGAGACAGTGAGGAATAGTCTTGAACTCAGCACAGGAAAAAGACTTTCTGAATAGAATACCATTAGCACAGAGACTAAGAACAACAAAGAAATGGGACCTCATGAAACTGAAAAACTATGCAAGCAAAAGGAAATATCATTTGAACAAAGATTTTTGCCAGCTACACATTTGATAGAGGACTAATATATAAAATACATAAACAATGTAAAAATCTAGCCATCAAGAAAATAAATAACCCAACCAAAAATGGGGTAAAGATCTAAATAGAGAATTCTCAAAGAGAACACTGAAATGACTGTAAAACACTTAAAGAAATGTTCACCATAATTAGCCACCGTGGAAATGCAAACTAAAAGTACTTTGAGATTTCATCTTATACCATTTAGTTACACTTGTCAATAAAAGAAATGACAGCTCATGCTGGCGAGATGTGAAGTGAGAGGTACAACCATCCACTGCTAGTGGGAATTCAAAATTGTATAGTCACATAAGAAATCAGTGTGGTCATTTCTCAGAAAGCTGAGAATAGATCTACCTGAAGATCTAGCTATTCTACTCTTGAGCATAAACCCAAAGGATGCTTTATCCTAACTACAAAGACACTTGCTCAATCATATTAATTGCACCTTTATTCATTATATTAAAAATTGAAAAGAGCCTAGATGTTTTTCAATGGATGAATGGATAAAGAAAATATTGTACATCTATACAGTGGAATATTATTATTCATCCATTTAAAAATGTGAAATGAAGTTCACAGGTTAATGGATGGAGCTAGAAAGAAAAATCATTCTTAGTGAGGTAATCCAGACCAAGAATGATAAATATAGTATGAATTGACTTATATGTAGATTTTAGCTTTAAGTCTTCAATAAGAAAGCTACAATCTATATAACTACAGAGGTTAGGTATAAACTGAGGGGTGAGAAGGGATGGACTTTCCTAAGAAGGGAAAATAAATGTGTAGCTGTGGGTGGACAGGGATGTAATTGGAGGACCAAAAGGGGATGGTGAGTGAAGAGGAAGGAAATGGAAGGAAATATAGAGACAGCCAAAACTGAAGCGCATTTCTGGGGCCATATGGAAACCCAGAAAAGTAGGAGATTACTAAAGTTGTTTCATACATATATGAAGGCAATCCAAATGAAATCACCCAATAATGGGGGAGACAAAGCCACAACTGGATATCTCTTGTCACCAAAGGAAACTTTCAGTACCAGGAATGAGTCTAATTCAGGTGAAACCCAAGTAAATGTGCATCAGTGAAATTTGTCATTTGAAAATCAGATTTTGCTAGAATATTCTACATCTATTATATCATTCATTGTCTAAATCTTTTCTTTTAAATGTCTTCAATTAATCTGTACTTATTTGTGGTTTGCACAGATGTCCCTGCAAATCTCATTATCCTAGCCCATTTCATCTTCCCTCATCTCGCCTCTCCCCCCGCCCCCGCCGCGCTGTATTCTTAGCTTTGATGCATTTTAATCTGTATCTTTTGTACCATTTCTTCAGTGTAAAGGTGATATGTAAGTCCTGTAAATTCAGTCCTCAAGGCAAGTATTCTATCTCTTTCATTGTACTTCCTTCCTGGAAGCTGAAATAAACCCAAGTAAAGATTATTTGCTGATTAGGCATAATTACTTGCTCCTCTAAGCTGGATACTCTTGTGATTGTCTTCAACTCATTGCTACACTCAAACTTTAGGGACAATGATTTCAATGCTCTGTTCTTTGTACCATACCTTGATTTTGCTGGCATGCTTGACATTGCTAAGACTCATTAGGGCAAGTGAGAGTCATACCTGAACTTAGTGCCACTATCTGAAGGAGGTACAAGACAACACAGTGTGTGACAAGAAGTACTCCTGTAGCTCCCATTATACCTGTGATGAAACATATTAGATGAAAGTATAGATTAGATTTATTTTAACTGTCCATTCAATTTCCAATTTCTCTATAACCCTAATATCTTGCCTGATGTGTGTATGATATATATGAAAAATCTATCACATTTGACTCCTGGATCAAAAACCAAAATACTAAGTAGCTTATTTTAAGAAAAATCTAAATGTTTATGATATATCCTTCTTGAATTTTGAATGAATAAAATAAAATGACATACATATATGTCAAATGTGTTTCACAATCTTTTTCTGAAATTATTTCGTGTGTGTGTGTGTGTGTGTGTGTGTGTGTGTGTGTGTGTGTGTGTGTGTGTGTGTTTTACCTGCATATATGTATGGACCATTTGTATTCCTGGTGCCTACTGAGGTCAGAAGAGGTTGTTTTATCTCCTAGAACTGGAGTTAACCATGCTTGTGAACCAGCATATGGATGCCAGAACTAAACCTAGGTCCTCTGAAAGAGCAAAAAGTACTCTTAACGACTGATCCATTTCTCCATCTGTCTTTTTTATATATTTTATTAATATATACTATCATACACAATGCATGTCATTATGACATTTTTATACATGTTTGTACTTTGTATTCACTGCCATTGCCCTCTCTTATGCCCTCCTAGTCCCACTAATCTTTCTCTTTCCAAATATTTTCCCTTATACTTTCATGTCTTTTTAATTTTTAGGATAATCCTTTGAGTTTAATTAGGATATTTTACAGGAGCATGGTAAAGTTCTGTTTACAGGAACATGGATCACCAGTGGCTACACCACTGAAAAAGTGTATCTTCCCCTCCCCAGCAATTATTAACTTCCTATTAAGTCTCAGAGTGGGATGAGGTCTTGTGAGTTCCTCACTTTTCCACAATGGAAATGGTGGCACTAATCCTGTTCAAGTCTTGTGCAGGTAATCCCAGTTGCCCCACTATCTCTCCTAGATAATTGTCTTTTCATACGTTTTTATTTTCTTCTTTTTATTTATTTATTTATTTTTAAAAGCTTTTATTTTCATTTTACATACCAATCCCAGTTCCCCCTCCCTCCCCTTCTCCCAACCTCCCACATCCCTCAGTCCTTTCCCTCTCCTCAGAGGTAAGACCTCCCTTGGGGAGTCAATAAAGTCTGGCACACTAAGTTGAGGCAGGACCAAGCCCCTCCCCCTTGTGTTGAGGCTGCACAAGGTATCCCACCCTAGGGAATGTGTTCCAAAAAAGCCATTTCATGCACCCGGGATAAGTCCTGGTCCTACTGCCAGGGGCTCCCCAAACAGATAGAGAAAAAAAATCACATATTTTTAAAAGAACATGTATCTTTCCATCTTCTTCCTCTTTCCAAATTTTAATGACAATGATTCTGCTCTCTGCTATGATATCAAGTTTTAAAAAATATTTTGTATTTGAAATAGAATTATATTACTTTCCCTCACCCTTCTCTCCCTCCAGCTTCTCTCACATCACCACTCTCAAACCAATAGCCTCTATTTCTTTATTATTGTTACACACATACACACACATATGCATATGAACATACATGTATATCTACAAATGCATACATGTATATAACAACATCATTACATTGCGATAATAACAACATTATTATCATAACAACATTAATAAAGAAATGTATATATACATACATATATATGTGTGTATATGTAGAAATATATATAAACACAGCATACTGAGTTATTTTTTTCTGGTTTGTGTGTGTATGGTTTCAAGGCTGACCACTCTGCATTGGACAAACATAATGGGGCTCATTTCTGGGAGAGTCTAATTCTCCTTCTCCCTCCCAGGAGTCCTTAGTTGTTTGTAGTTCCTTATATAGATGTAGAATCCTTGGAAAATTTCCCATTTTATGTTGACGTGTCCATTAATTCCACTGTTTCAGTAATGTTTATGTAGCTATTTCTAGGAAATCAACTTTTTAAATTTCTATGTATGACCAAGAACATGAAATACTTGTCTTTTTGTGCTAGCCTATTTTAGAAATTGAGTTTTTAAAGACATATTGTAAAAACTCAACAGGGACATCTTACATAGTCTATCCCTTTCTGACTTTGTTAATTATTACTAGATACAATAGAGAAATTATTCTGGTTAAGAAGAACATGGGATGGGCACAAGCCTCATTTTATGTGGCTGAGAAATAATAGTCATCAGAATATATTATCTTTAGCCTCGATCAAACGACACTTCAGAACCTGATCTCAGTATCCACTAAGATTCAGTTTAACAGAGACATTTTCAACTATTCCATAAAGAAAACTTAGGAGTTTTCTTCCCCAGCAGGTACTAACCATTCTTCTGAACCCCAAGATTTACTAGTCCTTAAATATACTTCTGTCTAAATCTTTGGAACTTGTTTCTAGGCAGACAGTATTCCTTCCAAGGGGCACAAGGAAGAAGAAAAAAGTAGAAGGGAAATTATCTGTGTAAACAGAACCATATCCTAAAAGATTACTAAATCCCCTTACTTACCTGAGCCTGATGATCCCAAGTCATCTCTTTATTGTCCCTACAAAAGCATCAGTTGACTCGTGTGAGTTTTTGGTAATGTTCCAGAATTTTACTGAAGCCACCAAGCATGCCAGATTTAGACGGAGATCGGGTAAACTAGCTACCAATGCCTCTCTCCTAACCTGAAAGTCTGGTCCCATGATTCTGCAAGCCTGATACTTAGGTGTCTTTGCCAGGGAACTTCCTACAGAGCTGGTGTATTAACCTGCAAAAGAAATCTTTGTTTAGCTCAGTGTCTACATCTGGTATTACTCAAGTACTAGCAAGACTCACCTCACTCAGGGAAGAAGCAAAGCGAAACCAGACCCACATCTGTCATATACCAAGTGCCAAATGAAAAGCTACAGTGATTGTATTTTGTATGCTGGACCTATACTTAGTAAGGAGAGGGAACTGTAGAAGCACAAGTAAATGGCTTTAAGTTCAGATAAAGCATTCCATGAAATTTCATTCAGTTAACAACAAATAACAATAACCTTGAAGTAAAAACGACCAGTTAGTCCAGTTAAGCAAAGGAACACAGTAGTTTTCCAGGCTGTCAGAGCAACTCTGTCTTGAACACACAAAAGAAAGTAGTCAATTCAAAATACTACCGGTAATTTGCAATAGCTTCTGGGACAAAGGATTATAAGGAAAAAGGAGAGGTGAACTTCAGGAAGAAATAAGGGAAGTTATGAAAATTTAGGAAACATACAAATCATATGTATGTTTATATATGTGCAGTCAAGTTTTTAATATATAAATGTATATTAATGTTTAATATAGATGCCATTCATATATAAGTACAGACTAGCTATGACTATGAATGCATATAGAAACTTACCTAAATATTTTTAATAAAGTATTGCATATATTTATACTGTATGCACACATACATATAAAAGTATATTTCAGAAAATATGTAATATTACCTCCACAAGTAAGTCATATAACTCACAGTAAATTTATCATGCATATGTAAATCATTATAAAGGTACACATGTAAATGATTTAAAATTTATTTTTTTAGTTCTTTGAGATTTTTGTACAAAGTTGTTTGATCATATTCACCCCCAATTCTTCCCAGATCATTACCCTTCCCTACTCAATCAACTTTATGTCCTTTATTTAAAAATACAAACACTTTTGCTGCTGTGATAAAACACCATGACCAAAGCAACATGAGGAGGAAAGAGCTTATTTCAGTTACAATCCAGGTCACATTCCATCAATGATGGAAACAAAACCAGGAACTCACTCAGTGCGGGAACCTGGAGTCAGGAACTAAAGCAGAAACCCTGGAGGGAAAACTGTCTCCTGGCTTGATCCTTATGGCTTGTTCAGATTGATTTCTTACCACATGCCTAGAGTTGACACAACATGGAGTGTTCTGTTTCTCTCACATCAATAATTATCAAGAAAATACCACAGTCTTGTCTACAAACCAATCTTATGAACAGATTTTGCTCACAGTTAGAATTCCCTCTTCCCTGATATGTCTTAGTTTGTGTCAAGTTTGCAAAATCTAATCAATACACCCATCAAGACCAATTTGTGCCATTCCCATATTTTCGTATGTATAGTCTTCCACCCTAGTACAATTGGCTTACCAGGGACTACACTCTTAGAGAAGACTCTCCCTCTCTCAGCAGCTATCAGTTGTCAATGACTCCTCAACTATGGGAGGCAATTTCATACCAAATATCTTTCTCCATGGAGGGATTTGGTCTGACTTGAACTTTATGACCTGATACCACGTATTTACTAGTGGAGAAAGGATGGAGTATGCTTCAGTTTGTATGCACAGGAAAGGACTATTTGAACAGGACCCCAGTAACTTCAGCATAAGATCAGACAAATGGGACCCCATGAAACTGGTTGCTGTTGTTGTTGTTGTTGTTTGAGACAGGGTTTCCTTATGTTTCCTTGGCTGTCCTAGAACTAACTCTGTAGACCAGGCTGGCTTCAAACTCACGGAGATCTGCATGCCTCTGGCTATCTAGTGCTGGGATTAAAGGCAGGTGCCACCACTGCCTGGTTAGTTAGGGTTTCTATTGCTGTGAAGAGACATCATGATTATGGAAAGCCTTACAAAGGAACACTTTTACTGGGCCTGGCTTAAAGTTCAGAGGTTTAGTCTATTATCATCATGGTGGAAGCATGGTGTCACCCAGGCAGACATGGTGCTGGAGAGGTAGCTGAGAGGTATACGTCTGGATCAGCAGGCAGCAGGAAGAGGGAAGTATGGACCTAACTTGAGTATAGTGACATCTTTATCGTGGAAGTAAACTACAGCGACCTAATTGGACTTAAGGACCAATCAAAATAGGAGAAAATTCATGCCAGGTACTATAAACATAGCCAACTACCCCTACCTAGTGAGTCAATGACCCAAGAGGAGAACCTAGTACAGTCACTTTATAAAACCAATATAATCTCTGTGTTGTATATACTTATCCTCATTCCCACAGATGAGTGTGGCTCCTATCACTCATCAAAGAAGCTTCTTTTTGTAGCAGATGACTACTGTGAAGATCCACAATTAGTCAAAATGCAGAGAATAAGTGACTGTGGTAGTTAATATGATAGTAACAGTAGAAGGACCAGGACACCTGCTGTGAGAGAGTGTTTCCTGTACATGACAGGGAAGCTGTACCCATGAAATAATGATATGACTGACTCAATAAGACTAATATAACATGACAATAAGAATGTGGAACATTTCATAGGTGCTCACGTAAGATTCATTGCTACAGGTAATCAATGACTAAGATTAGCAGAATAAATGGTAATTAATGTGAATGTGAGGAAAAGGGAAATATTTATTCTCTGCTGGTGGTAGTGGAAACTAGTACAGGCACTGTAGAAACCAGTGTGGAGGTTACTAAAGAAGCTAGAAAGAGATTTGCCACAAGATTCAGCTGCACCACTTTTAGGCATATACCCAAAAGACTTGATATCCTACTAAAGGGATAATTGCTCATTCAAGTTCATTATTATATTCATGATAGCCAAGAAATAGGTTAGGACCTGTCCCCGATGCATGAGCTGCCTCTTTGAAACCTCTTCCCTATGGTAGGATGCCTTGTTCAGCCTTGATGCAGTAGGGAGGAGCTTGGTTCTGCTGCAACTTGATATACCCTGCTTTATTGATTCCCAAGGGAGACCTTATCCCATCTGAATGGAGAGAGAGGTGTGAATGGGGGGGATAAAAGGGATATAGATGGAGGGAATGGGAAGAAAGGAGGGAAGGGAGACTGTAGTTGGTATGTAAAAGAAAAAATATATTAAAAATAAGGTGAAGGTAAAATAAGTGTGGCACATTTATACAATGGAATATTATCCAGCTGTTATGAAAAGTGAATTTGTATTTATTGTTAGTTATTCCTCCTAGCATTCCATCCTTCATTCTGACCTTTCTTCCCACTCCACATAGCCATAAGGAAGCATACTACTCTAGAAGCTTCCTAAAATATATACACAAACATATATAAAGAGTTTACATGGAGTTACCCTATAATGGAGCAACAATACCCATACCCCTACTAGACACCACAGACTAACAAATGCAACGCCCAGTACCAGGAATGGATTGCCTCTTTTGGATTTGTTGGCCAGTGAGTTCCTACAAATTCCCAAACATTCAATGCACTTGGTTATCTTCCAGAACTTAAGAGTAAGGCCTCCTGGAGCTCTGCCTGGCGACTGGCTGTGCATCTTTGCATCTGCTTCCATCAGTCATTGGAGAAAAGCTCTGTGATGACAGGGTATTCACCGGTCTGATCTCTGGGGCAACACTGGATTTTTCTCTATCCCCATGATATCTCTTTATATCATGATATCTCTTTCATTGCTTCCCCCTCCCTCCCTGTTCCAATCATACCATTCCCTTATGTTCTCAACCCCTATCTCTTACCCTCCATTGCCCTTCCCCCATCCCCAGTTTACTCATGGAGATCTCATCTATTTCCCTTTCTCAGGGCGGTCCATGCATCCTTCTTTGGGTCCTCCCTGTTAGTTAGCTTCTCTGGAGTTGTGGGTTGTTGCCTGATTATCCTTTGTTTCATATCTAGTATCCTCTTATGAGTGGGTACATAGAGAAGAGGGATTCTATGAGCAAGTGCATCAGGATCATGATGGGGAAACATGCAGGGATGTCCAAACCAAACTAGAGGGAACTCATGAAAGTTGGATCAATGGCTATGGAGCCTACATGGGACTGGACTAGGCCCTCTGCATGGCAAGACAGTTGTGTAGCTTGATCTACCTGACTTGGGGGGGCCCTGTTGGTAGGATCAGAATCCATCTCTGGTGCATGAGTGGGCTTTTTGGAGCCCACTACCTATGATGGGATACCTCGTGCAGCCTTGAGGCAGGTGGAAGGGCTTGGACTTGCCTCTACTGAATGGGCCTCCCCATGGGAGGCCCTCTCTTCTTGTGGGTGGGAATAGGGAGTGGGTTGGGAGGGGGAAGCTGGGGGTGGTAGGAGGGAAGAGGGGGGTCCTTGAATGGTGTGTAAAATGAATGAAAAAAATTTCTTAATAAAATAAGGAGAAAATAAAAAAAGAATAAGGCCTTAAAGCTGAAGACATAACACATTTGAGTTACAGAACACATAAAAGATCAAGCTGAGAGGTTCTATGGAAGATAAAAATAATATCAAATCTTTACCAGCTGTAAACCCTGTGAGCTATAACAGTGACCTGACAGGCAATACATGCCCACTGGTACAATAGTGGCATTAATGTCAGGTGTTGACATTGGGACCAATAATCTGTAACTAGATAGGACATAGACTCTATAAAAACTTTCTAATTACTTTGCTAATGAGATATATTATTAAACTAACTCCTAATGACCCATAATTACATGTACAAATTTATACATCACTCTTTTCCCCTGCATCTTTTATTTCATAGTTAACATTTAATTACACTTCTCCCCTCCATTTCCTCTATCCAATATGTCCCATATACCACCTCTCCACTCTCCTTCAAATTAGTGAC